TGTTGGACAAAATTTTCCATTCCTGTTTCATTTGTGATAGCTATATTTTTGTTCCAGGAAAGAGGCAAAAAACAGACTGTAGCTGGAAGCTATATTGCATCATGTTCACATAACAGAAAGTTATTTTTGCTCCATTTTAATAGCATTGCAAAGAGTTCTCTGTAGGCTGTTCTTCCTGTACATTGTAACATATTAGCCTGTGTGTAGTTACCTCACTTATGAAAGACATCAGAGTCTCTTCTAATTACAGCCAAGGGTGGAAGGAAACGAAGGAAGTGGCTCAGTCCTAGCTCTGAAAACAATCTCCTGAAATCATGGCACACATTGAGTACTTAATTCCAAAGACAAATTCCAATGTGGTAGCTATGTTAGTCTGTTGTAGCAAAAATAAAAAAGGAATCTTATGCCCCCTTAAGTATTATCAGAGTTACTGTAACAAATGCTTCATGGCCAGTACCTATTTTTAGCCAGCAGATACAGCTACGCAAATTGGAAATATTGTGAATATTTGCTTTAAAAGGCTATGAAATACAGGAGATACAGTTTGTAATATTTCCATGTAAAGAGTAAAAGTACAAAGACTGCAATAGCCATAACATGTTTGTTTATGCCATAGGTCAGAGGTGTCGAACTCATTTGTTACGAAGACCTGATCTGACATAAATGTCACTTTGTCGGGCTGAGCCATGTGTGCCATAAAATGTAACACAAGATGGGGGCGGGGCCACGACCATCCGAGGGAAAACCATAGAGTTCTCCCTCGGATGACCGTGGCCCCGCCCCCAGCATGCCCAGCGTGCCCGCATCACTTTCGGGCAACGTGCACATCGGGGTGGAGTTCCCCCCGGGGCCCGATCCGCCGGCAGCGGGGAACGGGCCTCTGGGGCGGGGGTTTCCCTGCCCCCCGGGGGGACTTGGCAAGCCTACTCACACAGAACATCTGCTTTGCATGAGGTTAGAACAAAATCTTACCCATCTCGTAGATATTGTGAGGCCTCTTCTCTTTATCTCAGTGTTTAAAGTCATGAAGTAGGTGAGAACATGAGTTCCATTTCTAATGAAGGAAATAGAAGGAAGTGTGATTCTGTTTTATATGGAGAACTTTTTTAAAAAAATAGTTCTTTATTAGTGTCTCAAACAAAAATAACACTGAACACAACATACAAGACATAACATACATAAACAAAAACTTGAATTCCCTGGCATAATACTGTATACATTAGTGCCTTCACTAATATATATATAGTGCCTTCACCTCCATTTATATGTCAGTCACAAGCTATACATTTTTCTGTAACCAGCTATAAAACGTAAGCCAAATATTATGAAATGTATCATCATCTTTCCCTCGGAGCTTCATAGTAAGATTGTCCAATTCGGCCACTTCTGTTACTTTAATTACAAATTCCTCTCTAGCCGGTATATTTTCCTGTTTCCAGTACTTTGCAAATAAGATCCTGGCTGCCGTGAGCAGATGCGTAGTTAGGTGTACTTCCGTCTTTTTTAAATTATCAGGCATAATATTTAACAAAAATATCACTGGCTCATATGGGATTCTCAACATAATCATCTGAACAGTAATTTCATAAAGTTCTTTCCAATATCTTTGTGCTATTCTACATGACCACCAAACATGAAAGTAAGTCCCTTTTTCTGTTTTGCACTTCCAACATCTGTCTGATAGATTGGGGTAACATCTAGCTAACACCTCTGGAGTAAAATGCCATCGGTGAAACATTTTAAAAAGATTTTATTTCATCGCTGTTGCCTTCATCCTCCTCATATTTTGCCACATTTTTTCCCATTTGGCCCATTCAGTGTTATGACCAAAATTTCTAGCCCAGGAGATCATTGATACTTTTACTTCTTCATCTTGCATTTTTTGGTCCAAGAGGAGGTTATACAATTTTTGAATAAGTTTATCACCTGGACCCATCAGTATCTTGTCCATTTCAACATACTCCGTATGTATGCCTATCTGTTTATCTTTCTGATATCTAGATGTGAGTTGATTCCTCTCCCACCAAGACAGTATAATTCCTTTAACCTCAAGCTGGTTCTGGGTTTTTAAATTTCCATTTATATCTAAGCAGTCTTTATAGGTAACATATCTTGATGCCTACATTAAGCTTGGAATAGATATTGCCTCCAAAGGGGCCACCCATGCCGGGATTTTCCTATAAAATAGCTTTTTAATCTCCAGCCAGATTTATATGGAGAACTTAAGAAGAGCTCTGCTGTGTTAGAACCAGTGGTTCATCTAGTTCAGCAAGCATCCCGTTTCATGCAGTGGTCAACCAGTTGCCTGGAAGGGCCAACAAACAGGGGACAGAGGCTAAGGCTGTCCCCAATGCAGCTGCCTAGCAGAGATATTAATGGGTTTGTTGCTTCTGAAAGTGGAGCCTCCCTTCAGTCACAATGGCTAATAGCTGCTGTTAGGCCTATCTTCCATGAATCCATCTAGCCCCCTTTTATAGTCATCTGTGACAGTATCATCATTGTGTCCACTGATAACATTTTTTGACCATGCACAATCTTGGAAGCTAAGCAGGTTCAGCTCTGGCAAGTACTTGGATGGGAGACCTCCTTGTATACCAGAGGCAGGAGGTGGGTACTGGCTTTATTCAGCCACCTCTCTGAATATCCTCCAGGCCCCCAGTAGGAATCAGGCTCCAGAAGTCGCCATGGCTTCCAGGTGCATGCCCACTCACACAAACACATGCATATTTAAAAAATACAAAAAGAGAGACAGAGAGAAATGGTGAAGTTTGAATTCTGCTATTTTTGTTGTGTCCTGAATGCCCATTAGTATGATTTCCGTGTTTTGGAAATATTTCCACCTCTACAGGGGTTATAAAATTAGTTCTAATGATGAATCAAACATTATATGAACCTATACCAATAATAACATTTCTGTTGCTGTAGCCATATTGAATTAAAAGATGGCTGCCACATGTTTAATGTCATGTCCATTATTAGATACTAGTGGCAAGCCTGTTGCAAAGAGACAGGCAACGAGTGCTAGGCAGAGGGCCGGGGGGAGATTGGGGCCCTGTAGCACATGCCCAGGGTGGCGGCGGTCAGTGCCCCTTAGAAACGCAGGGGGTGGCAGGCGAAGACAGGGCAGCAGTGGTGAATGTGCCACTGGCAGAGAGGCCACATGCCACCCTCCCCTCCTGGAGGCCTCCAAGCAGCCTCGGAAGCTTGGGGGGGGGGTCGAGGGAAGATGGGGCAGTGGCAGTGAGCGCGGCGCCAGTGGAGAGGCCCCACTCCACCCTCCCGGAGGCCTCCCAGCAGCCTCAGAAGGGAGGTGGGGGGGTCGAGTAGAGACGGGCCAGCGGCGGCAAATGTGCTGCCGGCAGAGAGGCCCCATGCCACTGGGCAGCAGGTCTGTGGGTGGGACTGACGCCATGGTGGAAGGGAACACAGCCAATTGAGGGACACCTTGTGATGGGCAGTTCCTGCAGCCAACTCATTTTGCCACGCATAGAACGTTGCCAGACCACTACACATTTATATAATAGGACAAGATTCCAAAGGTTTTCAAAATTATAAAGATCAATTTGGTGTTATATCTGATTACTTTGACAAGAAAGCCTCCAATGGACACTGTGGATAATCAGCTCACCCTGATTTACTTTAAGCAAACTATATAGAAATGTTCATATTAGTGAAGCATATGTGGCATGGCTTGAAATCTTTAAAGTATACCATATGTTCTGAAGTAGGTTTGTAGTTACTGATTAAAGTATATATACCAGAATTGTGCTGCTATAACGGTGACTTGTTCGGTGTAGGACACTTGCTAGATGCAGCGATTTTTATGGCAGTACGATCAAGATTGTTGTGGTACTGCAGCTTGGATAAGACATTTAAAGAGATTGCATCCCTTTAAATGCCTTTTCCCCCTCGATTGGATGGGGGCACGTTCTTCTGGGGCCCATAAAATTGTACCCCTCAACCTTTTTGAAACTTGGGAGTTTTTTTAAGGAGTGCAAAAAAACAGCTCCCCTGAGCCCCAGATACCCCCAGCTTGATTCTCCATTATGGCCTATGGAGACCATTGACTACAGTGCTCCCTATAGGGTATAATGGAGCTGAAAAAAATTGGTAATCTTGAATATTTCCCACATCCCAATTCCATAATGATACTGGGATTTGGGAATATTGGGAAATACTGATTTTTTGGGGGGTTCAATATACCTGAACCTGAAAAATACTGATTTTTTTTTTTATGCACACCCCTACTCTCTATTTCTTAATGACAATGACTTGGATCCACTGGCAGATTTCCACAGATGGAAGGATTTTCACCTGGAATGTGAGTTTCTCATCCCATATATCATTGTAGTCCAAACTGCCCTCTGAAATGCTATTCCCGGGGGTCTCCTGTCCTCCAGGAGTTGGATTTTGGTCTGCAGTGGTGGGGGAAGGCAGGAACATCATGCTTCACAAATGGAAATCTTTCCATCTGGACAAGAGCTTATTGTATGTCTATCACGGGTCTTAATAGTGGTTACGGTTCATTTCACTGGGATCTTAGGGCCACTCCTAATCAGGGAGGTCTCTTTACAATGCTTTTGATGGCAGCTACTTCCAAATGGAGAACCATTTGTTTGCAGTGACTTGTCTCATGGGAAAGCCTCTTTCTTCAGCATCAGCATGAAGTCACAGAGAGATGAGAGACTTCTCCATGTGGCAGATTCCTTGTAGACAATGGGCTCATTATGAGGAACAGTTCAGAGCAGCTTCTCTGTTTTCAACACTTTTGAACATTTTAATATATAACAATAATTTGGGGGGGGTTGTTTTGTTTTACAGGTACACAAAATATCTTACTGCATTGCTGTAATTATTCCCTGTGACTCATTCAAATTCTCAGTGAAGTAAAAAAACAACAACTTACCCTAAAATTCATTTTTGTTGTTCATGTTTGATTTTATTTTTGCATTTGTAAACGCAGCTTAAACTTTTGTGTTTTTGTCTTTGTCATTTGATAGGATGATGAAGTGGTTCTGCAGTGCACTTCTACTGTTCAGAAAGAACAACAGAAATTGTGCCTTGCTGCAGAAGGGTTTGGCAACAGGCTCTGCTTCTTGGAATCCACATCAAATTCTAAGGTACCACAAGCCATGTTACTCTAATGCTGATCTAAACATTCCTGACCTACCAAGGTTTCTTCTTGTATGATGTTACATGATTGCTTCTGAGATATTAATCTATAGCTTGATATATTCCACTATGTAGTTTCTATATAGACAAATAATTTGAAGGTAAAATACCAAAAAGCCAAATTCTGAATACTTTAGAATACAAAAAAAAAAAAAAAAGTTTGAGGAGGAATGGCATCAAGGGAGATTTGTATCATGAGTTATGTTCCAAATCTGATAAGGCTGCTTTATTTTTAAAGCAATAATAAAAATTTCTTCAAATGATATTCATGAAGACCATATGTTATATCTGGAGGCTTGTTATTTCATTGATGAATGTGTGTAGAAAAGGCATGAGTGCGATTAATTTGTCTTACTTCCTTTTGGGATTGCTAGATTAATCTTGCCAAGGTACTCAGAGCTGACAGGTTAACTGAATAAAATATTATCCAATTGATATTTTGCCCACATAGTATGTCAGGGCATTTTAGTGATTAATATGGCAGCCATTGAAACATGGTGGTGCAAGAACAATGGTACCTTTTCCATTTAGCCTGCAATCCTGTGCACATTTTAACTCTGAAACTCTCCTTGTGTTCAGTGGGATACAAGCACCTTTACATTGTGCTGAACTTGAACTAAAGTATATCCCTGACTGAAGACAATAGCTATTGTTATAATCCCGTGTGATGTAATCCTGAAAGCAGCTCTGGGTCAGAAGCCATAGTTCCACAGGTGTAAGATGGAGCTCTTCCACCAGGCCTTCAATTAAGGAGCCTCCACCATTATCAACAACAACTGACATTTATAGAGCCCTGGCCCTTGGTTTGCTATTGACAGCCTGTGCCTGCTGATTATATCTGGGAAAGATCAGCGAGCTGAACATCTAGATAATGTCAGCTATGCTGCCATATGGTTTATGGGCCCGGGTCACTTTCATGACCTGTGTGCCAATTGCTGCTGCATTCCTTTCTTTTTGCTTTCCCCCCTCGTTATCATTGACCTTGTAGCCTGCCTGTATAGTGTCTTCCCATCAATTAATCGTGTGACTAGTTTCGTTTCCCAGCCTCGGCTCAAACTGCCCTGGTCCTCCTTCCCGCCCGCGGGAGTCAGGCCGATTGGCCCATAGGTGTGTGTGGGGGTACATTTGAATACCCTATATCACTCTCAGCTTTCTGTGTAGTAGTTATTCCTAACAGTGCTTATGTTTCTGCAACCATAGTACTAGCAATAAAGTATAACCTTCAAAGAAGCGTGTGCTCCGTTGTTTGACTGTGAGTCCTGACATTCTGTTAGGAATCCTACTATCCCTACTTCCTCACATATCTCAAGCTGAGATGAGTGAAGATGAGGAGAAAACTGCCCCTACGACGACGGCGAGTGAGGTTCCTGTCTGTTTCTGGGGTCACTGCATGCTCATAACAATACCAAGGGTGGCTTCTGACTTTCTGGAGCAGCCTGAGGAATATCCTATGTAATTGGGATAACTTCCATTGATATTGATTGGTATATCCATAAAGATTACAACCTAAGCATTGCCTTTTGTCAGGTCTTGAAGGAACTCTCCCAACAACACTCTCTTGGCAGTGATTTGTTTATAGAGAGTCTGTGTCAGAACTGGCTCCCTTGGTGCCAGTTCTCATATTATACATCATTCAAACAACCCCCCCAAGGGCCAGTCCAATCACAGCCGTACATCCAGCCCACCAAAATCTGTGGTGCATCACTACCCCTCCCCCAGCACCTGCAAGCCTACGGTTGCATTATCTAGCAGTGTCTGTACTCAAGGCCAAGCACACATACTTCCCACTATGAGGAAAGCCCCACATGGTCACAGTTACAAGCCAGCGCAACTCTCAGCAAAACACCTCCACACAGGCCCTCCCCACTCCCCCCCCCCATTCCCAGCTAGAATGAAATGAGACTGAGATACAGATACCAAAGCCAGATCATTAACAAACACAGGACAAACGAGGGCCTGTCATTCCATTAACATTCACAGGACAAACACAGGACACCTTCTTCACTGCCTGTCATTCCAAACCCCTCCCTGAGGTATTGCCCTAGTTTTTGCTCATTTCAAGCACAGGCAAAAGATCCCCTTACAAGGAAATCTAGGAGTGTATGTGTGTGAGTTGAATTAGCACATGTACTCTGAGTATTTCTAGTACTAGTGGACCACAGGCAGGAAAACTACAGATGTATGGAAGGTTTTAAGTAGTTTGGAATTCTTTTATCCACTAGTCCTTTTGGTCCCAGAGCTGCGGTGGCTCAAGTGGTTAAGACGCTGAACTGCAGGCTGTGGAAGGTCAGTAGTTCAGCGGTTCAAGACCCGGGTGCCGCAAGACAGGGTGAGCTCCTGTCTCTAGTTCCAGCTCCTGCCAACCTAGCAGTTCGAAAGCAAGAAATTGCAAGTAGATAAATAGGGACCACTTCGGTGGGAAGGTAACAGCGTTCCGTGCGACTTGGTGTTTAGTCATGCCGGCCACATGACCACGGAAACGTCTTCGGACAGCGCTGGCTCTTCGGCTTTGAAACGGAGATGAGCACCGCAACCCTAGAGTCGGATTCGACTGGCTTTCGAGCAAGGGAACCTTTACCTTTTGGTCCCACTTTGAACTCATTGTATCCTCCTCTGGTTGAAAGCTTTACTAGAAGCAGGTGACTCTGAAACAGGATTGCTCCAACAACAAAGCTGATCTTGTAGTGGTTGGCTATGCAAGGGGAAGGGGATCTAGGTTCTTTACAGTGATTCCCTCACCATGAAACAGTTCCTCCTGTCTCTCGTCAGCACATGTAGCCATTTCTGCTGTTCCCCAGTCCTCATGCAAATGATGCAAAACTGCAGTGTCCTCATTATATGGACATAGCTGGGTCTATTGCTCCTGTTGATGTATATATTATTCATATACTTAATTTTTAGTAATTTGTTGGTTCCTCTGAAACTGCAGTTTGTAGTATGGAATTCTGTTGCACAAATGAAAAAGTTAAAAATTTCACCCAAATTACTCAAATAACTTTTTTTGGATTCTACTAAAGATAATCGTTGAGAGCAATAAAGAGTACAACAATTAACAACTGCTCATAAGTGCTTATTGCATATAAATTAACTGCAGCCCGTATTCTTATTGCCAAATATTGGAAGCAAGAGGGTACTCCCTCTAAGAAAGAATTAGTATGTAAAGTACTGGAGGTGGTCGAAATGGATAAGTTGACTATGATATTGCATAATAGAGATGTTACGATGTTTAACCAGAGATGGGAAAAATTTTATAAGTGGATAGATAATAATAATAACAAATTATATTCATATCTATGTATAACTCTTAAATCTGTTGTTATTATTTTGTTGTTATCACGCATTCTATGTACAACCCCCTTTGAGGGCATGTTGAAAAATCACAAATAAATAAGTTAAAAAAATATATATAAGTGCTTTCTCTGTTGCGATTCCCACCTTGAAGAATGCCTTGCATGAGGTTGGGGCACTCCCACACTTTTGTCATTCCGTATGACAAATGGCATTATTCAGGAGGGCTTTTCTGTAAAGGTAATAGGGTTATACTATAGCACAATGGTTCAAGAAGGTACTTTAGGCTTCAATTAATTGTGCAGTTTGATCCAGTGTGGCCCAGCTTCTAATTTATCCAGTTTTTTTGTAACAGAGAGTTTTGATCACACTTCCCCCCCCTTAACACGCTTCAATGTGCTTTCACCCCATGCTTGATTGATCAGATGCAGCATTCATGGAGTGGGGCGGTCAGGCAGGTCTTTTTAAACCATTTGTCTTTTGAGCATGCACATAAGTGTGTATGGGAAGCAGCGCTTCAAACTCCTGGCAGAATGGTGGCAGCTGGTGGCCAATGGGTTTACTGCTGGAGGCTTCTAGGATATGTAGTTCAGGGTGAAGGAAGTGTTTTTGAAACTGCTTTTGATAAAATCAGTGTTTCAAATGTTTCAAAGGCAGGGGGGAGAGAATTGAGAAACTTCGCCTTGTGTCCTGCATGCTGTTGGTGTTTTTATTTAAATCTCAGAGTGAAGTTGGAGTCACTGGCATTGCTCTCAGACTGCCCACCTCCCTCCCTATTTGAAAAAACGCATCACGTAACCCCTTCCCCATCCTGTGGCTGAAAAACACAGAAGTTTTTAAAAAAGAAAATGCAGTTTTGAGAAGATTCTGTGTGTGTGAGAGAGAGAGTGAATGGGGGGGGAGAGAGAGGTATGAATATGCAGTTATGTATAACTCACTAACTGCCTAAAAAAAAGCCCCAAACAGAAGGGAATGTTCAGACTTCACAAGTGGCTTGAGAGTGTGATGGATTGATCAAACATCTGGAAATGTGAGGGGAAACTGCATGCACAAGGAAAGACTTGACTTTCCCCAGTGCCAAATAACTCCAGCTCAAAGGCAGGTCAGACTGGGGTGCCCACAACTGGGGAAAGTAAGACAGGTGTTGCTGTCTGGATGTGCATTTTAAATTTGGAAGGGAACAGCAATGACACCAGATCAAACAGCACATCTGATCACAGCCTATATAGGGAAAGGAACCGTAGACTATACCACTACGGATGTATTATCTGTTTGCTGCATGTTTTACTCTGTTGTTGCTGCATTGTTTTCTACTGACATAATACATTTTTCAGCATTATATCTGCAATCTGGATCATGTCTAATATGCTATGTTTATTTGAATTTTTGTAATCTTATCCCATTGTTTCTTAGATATCTCTTCATATTGATTGAATCAATTTACACTTTGGAGTCTGCTTTGAGTTATAGTGAGAAAAAACAACTAAAAATGTGATAAAATGTTGAACAATGCTCCCTATTTGTGCACAGACAGCTGCAGTTATCCATGGAGTACCTGATTTTCTTTTTTGGATGAAGTTTTATATTTTGGTGGTAGAAGGAAATATATGCAAAGAATCTAAAAGATCTTCAGATGTGATTAGAATTGAAAATATTCAAA